GCTCTCCCCTCCCCCAACAGGCACAGGCTCTGACATGGATGGAGAAACTTGAGGTACAGGCAAGGTCAGGGATCTAACTAGCAGGTCCTCCAGGGGTCCCTGGAGTGAGGAACCCCACAGGCAGGCCTCTCCTTTGTGCTAGCTTCCCCCATGATGCCCCTTGGAGCCCTGGGCAGAAGGAACAGAGGAAGAGATGGGGCTGGAGCTGGAGCAGGGGGAGCCTGGGGACCAGCTGTGTTCTCAGGCCTCCTGAGAAAATGCCAGCAGGGAAATGCCAGAAGGTCACTATCTTTTATTCATTCTCAGATGCACATCCTCTCCGACATCTTAATGGCTCTGAAACCAGAATGCATCTTACAATTGGCCCCATCTTAAAGCCTAAAGCTTTTGTATTGGGGTTTGATGGCATCTTGTTTCTTCCCTAGTGGTACCTGAGACATCGGTACACCTTACATTTAATTCTGTCTTAGAGCCTAGGAAACATGGCCATTGGTATATAGTCTCTGGCTGTAGCAGGTGGGCTGGGAGAGCATGCTCTTCCAGGCCACTTGCCACCTCATCCTGAGGGTCACTCAGATTTATCCAGCAACCACGACCCAGGCATACACTGCCTTTTCTTTCCTTCACTCCTTCTCAAGGAGTCGATTGCTACATCTTGGAATCCTTCTCTCATCTAGACCCTCACTTTCCAAGGAAAAGACATAGGAGGAGTCCAGCTGGACCTCTGACCCTGATGGGCTGCATTTGAACAGCACCTGTCACTTCATCTCTCGGAGCCTGGGGCTTGTCTGATTGCTTGTTTCTTTGAACGATGTTACCTGGATTTGTTTTTTTTAAAGATTTGGCTTTTCCTGAGGGTTTACCTGTGCCGGCCACACATGCATCATCTTACCTAAATCCTCACAACAATAATTGCTCTCCCTATTTTGCAGATGGGAAAACTGAGGCTCAAGAAAGCCAAATAATCTGGCCAAGACCCCTGGCCTAGGAAGGCGAGAGGTGGGATTTAGCCCAGGTGTTTTGGTCTTCAGCCCCTATGTGATACTGGTACCTCTCCATCCGGGGAGAAGGGAGGATTTGCTGACAGCCGAATCCCCACTCCTCTTGATGTTATGTGAGAGCTAGCCAGGCAGCCCCTGCTGGTGGGTGACGTCAGCCCCACTTAGGAAGGATGCTGAGGACGCAAGAAGGACTGGGCTCACTCTGGGTGCTGGTTAGTAGGGTCTTATAAACATTTAGGCATGTTCTATGTTTCTCCATTTTTTCAACAATGAAATTATATTACATTTGTATCAACAAAAAGCAACAAGAACAATTGAGAAAAAAATGCTCCATTAGAAAATGCAGTGCCTGAGGTGTTTCCAGCTTCTGGTGAGACTTGCTCTGCAGGGTAATGGGCACGGAGAGGAATGAGTGCTCACCGCCGACCCCTCCCTAAGGGGCAATGCTCACATTTGCCATTGAAATTGTACCCATAATATAAGTTTTGGCTGTTCTTCCTGCTCCAGGAAGCCCTCCATGAACACTCCAGCTGTGCCCGTGCACATGTGCTGTCTGGTGTCTGAACATCACTTTACTGGGCACTGTGGGGTGCCACCCGGACACTCTGTGGGTCTAAAGGGCTCCTTCCCCAACCACAGGGAGTGCTGGCAACTGACCATTCCAGCCGGTCTGGCTTCTGGGTGATTGCCCCCCTGCTGAGGAGAGATGCCTCTTTCAAGGTCACATCTTTTCCCTGGACAGGACACAACCTATGTATGGCGTTATGAAAGGGAGGAAAGGCTCGACCCTGTTGCCCTAATTCAGGCAGCTGCGCAAGGCTTTCTGAGGTGGTCACCAAGGCTTTGCTTGACTGTGAAGCAGCCCGGTTTCTCCGCTGCCCCATCCTGCCTCCTTCACTTCCCTGCCAGTCTTGATCCCGAGAGCACCCCCAACACATCTGTGTGCTGACATCCTCCTCACAGTCTGCTTTCTGAGGACCCAGCAGCACCCACGATACTCCTGGGCTGCACCTCTCCTTTGTCGCGTATTAACCTAATGGTCTACGTTAATAGTTACATTTCAAGTGCGGAGGGTTTTTCTTCCCAGTTGGACTCACAGAGCCTCTGATGCAGTTCCACAAACAGCTTTTAAACACTTCCTGCCTGCAAATCACAGCGTTAGGAGTCGGAGGAGAAGAACAAGACAGTATGCTGTTTTGTTTATTTCACAAAGAAGATGAAGTGTGAGCCAGACACGGTGTAACCCTTGAGATGCTCACACCCCAGTTAACACAAATGGGGAATGTTCCAGAACAACGCCCTGAAGCAGTGCCTCCCAAGGAAGGAGGCAGATGGTCCAGCCGAGGGGACTTGGGATGGATTCCAGGGCAGGAAGGCTCTGAGCAAATCTTGCTTTGAAGAATTTGTAGGGACTGGTCAGGAGAAGCGAGGGAGAGGAGGCTTTCCAGACACTTTTCTGATTTGTAAAGTGGGAATAAGAATGACAAGCCTTAGAGGTTGTTTTGAGGATAAATGAGACAGTATATTAAAAAAAGAAAAAAAATTAGGCAACCTATCAAATCCTCTACAAGTAGATGAAGTTACCACCGTAGGATCGTGCTGCAGAATCAGAAGTGTGGTTCGGCATGGAGAATGAGTGGGGTGGGGGAGACGGGACTGAGAGTCCCCATCAGATGCCACTGGCCTTACCCAGAGAGGGACTAAGGAATGGGAGGAGGGGCAGAGAGGAGCAGTCAGGATTCCCAGGGGAAAGGAGCATGTCTCCAGGTCCCTGGCAGTGTTTGGCTCCCGTTGAGCTCCATAGATGCTGACTGAGCAAATGCATGGCGGGAGCAGCCCCTGTGGCCCGATCGATGCCTGCATGCAGGTCTCCCGCTGTGGGCTTTGCGAGGGCAGCTCCATATGACACAGTGCTTCACTACTTTGGAACTGGAAGACTTGCTTCAGGGGTGGCAGTCACCCCGTGTGGAGTGGAACTGGGCATTTTGCTTCCCCGAAGGGGCTCCAGAATGGTGCTGCTGGCTCGGACATCTTCCAGCCTCCCCTGCTGAGAGCTGGTGGAGCAGGTGTGTCAGAGGGATGAGGGTGTAGAGGTGGGCAGACCCTTCTCCAGTGCTCCTCTCTGACCTGTGGCAGCTGGGGTGCCCTCCTCCCTGGTTTGGACAGTGTATCACTTTGAAACGGAATGGCATAAATTGCTGGATTTCAAATCCGTTTGGGTAGCAAAACCCCTGGAAGTCACGGCGCTTTGTGTGGAGTACCTTGAAATGCTGAGCATTTAGTTTCATTGTGTAAATTAGGAACACTTTTGTTAGCAGGAAAGCCCACTATATTAGATGTCCATTATATTTCAATCACCACCAGAACACAGGGTGTCAAACTCATCGGTGCCCGCTGCTTCTCAAGTCTGCCTTTGAGCCCCCTGCTTCCTTTTCTCAGTGAGTAGAATTACCAAGCCTCCTGGAGTCCAGAGCAGAAATCTGGAGTTGGCCTCGTCTCCTTCTCTCCCTGCTTCCCCCAACCCCAACTCTCACGCCACGTCTATCCAGGGACCAGATACCATGAAACTGACTTCCAAGTTAGCTTCTGATTCTGAACATGTCTCTCCATGCTCATACCCCAACTTCATTCAGGTGACCACCATCTCTTACCTGAATTACAGCCACAGCCTCACTCCCCTCTAACATCCCCTCTGTACTGTACAGCCAGTGACCTTTCCAAAACCGCAATCCAATGGAGTCATCCCTCTGCATCCAGCCATTCGGGGGGCTCCAAGCTTATAAGACCCCCATCTGGCCCCAGAATGGCCCTCCAGCTTAATTTCCTCCTGCTTCATCATCATGCCCTATTTTTAGCCAGATAGACATATCTGCTTTTGGAGCTGTGTTGTGTTCTCTCTGGCTGGGACGTCTCCCTGCACTCAGTTGCCTGGCTGACTCTGCTTTCTTCTTCATCTCAGATGATGCCTCTTTCAGGAAGTCTTCTCCCCTGAGATGAGACGCCCGTTCCTCATGGCTCTCAGTGCAACAGTGTAGAACCTCGTCAGCTCTTACTGGGTTCCTGCAGCCTCTGAGCCGGTGTCCTGTCTGCCACCCCACTTAGCCCCGCCCTTTTCCATTCTCTACCCAGTAGTGAGAATCTTCTCTCTGAAAGGCAGATCTGATCATGTGCCTCCCACTGCCCTAGGGTCACATCTACACTGGCATGGCTTATAAGACCTACGATCTCACCTGTTGCAACCTCTCCAGTTCAGTTCATGCCAAGCCCACCATCCTCCATCTGTTCTAAACCTCTTGCTAACCTTCCAGCATGGCACCCACTCTCTGGTTCTGCCATTTGCATAACTGCTTCCTAAGGTCTGGACCCTTACCCTGGCTCCCAACTCTTTACCTAATTCCTGCACATCCTTCGGGTGTCTGTTGAACCTCACTTCCTTGGGAAATTCTTTGAATCCTTAAAGTAGGCTATGCCTCTCTCCCCATTCCATTTCCTAGTGCCTCCCACTTGTTGGTTTAATTGCTTGGTTAATTAGCTATTATTTCTTTTAGAATGCAAGCTGGAGAACCATGCATATCCTGTTCCTGCCTCTGTTCCCAGCACCACATAGAACAATGTTCAGTAAATACTTATCGAATCCGGAGTGAACGAACTTCCGTTCTTAACGCTAGAAGCTGGAACTCCTTGTGAACTTGTCTTAAGTGTGTGGGACATGGGATGTGCTTAATAAGTGTTTATTGAGTAAACGAATGAATGAAAGATCAACTCTTTTCACGGTGATTGATTTTACTCTACTTTAAAAAATTATACCCTCTCGTTTGTGTTACCATCTGCAGATTTGCTAGCAGATTTGTGGCAGCAGGCCTCAAAGTCGTAAGAAAAGTTTTGGATGCAAACGTCAAAATCCTGAGGCTGGAGAATTCTCTCTTTTAACCTCCAGTGGCAGCAAGCTTTGGGAGTTCCTCCCGCTCATCCCTGTGTCTGTCACTCCCGAACAGAGCCTGGCCACCCCGTGGCCCCGCCGCCCCAATGGATCCACTGAACCTGTCCTGGTACGATGACGTTCGGGGGAGCTGGAACTGGAGCCGGCCCTTCAACGGGTCCGAGGGGAAGGCCGACAGGCCCCAGTACAACTACTACGCCATGCTGCTCACCCTCCTCATCTTCGTCATCGTCTTCGGCAACGTGCTGGTGTGCATGGCCGTGTCCCGCGAGAAGGCACTGCAGACCACCACCAACTACCTGATCGTCAGCCTGGCCGTGGCCGACCTCCTGGTGGCCACGCTCGTCATGCCCTGGGTGGTCTACCTGGAGGTAGGTCTGGGCCCCGCCTGGCTCGGCGCCTTCCCCGGAGTCCAGGCTCCTCGCTGGTTCCTCCCAAGAGTGTGCCTTTTTGGGTGGTCTCTTCCTCCACTCTGTAAGCTGAGTCTTATAAAGTGGGCAGATTGTCTCGTTAACAATCCCAAATGCCACTTGGAGAGTGCTTGCCAAGTACCAGGCCTCGTGTTCGCCTTTACAGTCAGTGCCCCAACCCCACCCCGAGTCAGCATCTTAGAGAGGCTGAGCCGGATGGTCAGAGAAGTTAGGTGGCAGGTCCAAGCTGGAGCTCTGGTCCCGGGGAGTCAGTTCAGTAGGTCATGTTGGAGACGGGAATCACTGACGAGGGTCCCGGAGGATGGGACAGGCTCGTGCTTCATCCTCTCTCCTCGCTTCATACTGGGGGCTCCTGCCCTGCATTCTCCTCCCCTCCCTTCTGCCCGTGTGTCCTAGCCTGCATCTGGGACCTCCAGGTAGAAGGACACTGCACCCCCTTTCCTCAGGAAGGACCACATAGTGGCCCATGGCTCAGCCAGGAACGCAGCCCAGCTCCGCGCCTGGAATAGCAAGTAGGCAGCCCCCGCTACGGGCCAGGCACTTCACAGACACAGACTTAGCAAAAACGCATGCTGATCCTGAGTGGACAGCATCCTTCTCACCTGAAGGAAGAGGAAACAGAAGGTTTGAGAAGTTGCCTGTCTTCACCTAGATCACACAACAAATGGAGAAACCTCTGACAGAGAAGTCCCGAAGGGGCACCCACCTCCAGAGGACACTTTTCAGAGCTGGCAGGCAGATGAGGGAGGGTCTGGGGAATTCGGGCGGCACAGGCTGCATCCTGCTCTTTTCTCTGCCCAGGGCTCTGGGGCAGAGTCTGGGTGCTTGGGAAGCTGACCAGGTGTTCAGGAAAGAGCCAACGCCAAGGTCACTAAGGTCTCTGAGCTGTTCCCTTCCCGCTCCTGACGAGAGGGGAATTGACCTGTATCACGGAGACAAGCCCCTTCCTGGGAGGGAAGGGCTTCCACCTTCCAAAAAAGTCATGAAGCCTTTGTAGGTTTAAGCAGAGGAGAAGCAGCCGAGGTGGGGAGGGGGCTGGCCTCCCTGTCCCTCCGTGACTGCACGTTTATGCGGACCCCTCGACTCTGCCCGTCCCATGTCCTGGCTGAGGGGATGTTCTCTGAGGAGCCCCATCCTGATTCCCCTGCTCCCTTGCAAAGGAGGTTCCCACCCCTCAGACCATCAGGGAAAATTGATGGGTGGCTGGCTGGCCAGGCAAATAGCCTCTCTGTGCCTCATTTCCTTGTCCATAAAATGAAGATAATAACAGTATTTATGTCATAGCACTGCTTGAGAATCACGTGAGTTAATATATGAAAATTGCTTAGAACGGCACTGGCCACATAGCACCGCGCAAAACTAGCCATGACAATGGTGATGAAGGTGAAGATGAGGATATCCACCCCTCCCACACTGAAGGACCGTCCCAGTGCCCAGGCAAAGAGGCACCCTCCTCCAGAGTGAGGCGTCCTCTGCCCAGGGTTCTGAGCACAAGTTCTGGGCCTCCAGACCCACCACCCCTACCCAGGCACCCTAAGGCAGGGCCCAATCTGTGCATCAGGGCTCCCGGGCACCTGGAAGCCCTTCACACAGGTGTTTTAAACACGCCTCTTCACCATTATTTTAAAGGTGAAGCTCATTGTTTCCAGGGACGGTGGAGCATGGCGTCTCAGGGAGCGGTGCTCAAACTCCCATTAAAACAAGAGCTGGACTGGGGGCCCTGCTTACACGACACGGTCTCAGCTACTTATTGTCCCTGGGGAATGTCCCAAGTGGAGTCTCACCCTATCCTGGCATCCTGTTAAAACATCCTCGCAAACACATACTGTACTCTCTCCAAGAGATGCTCTTCTTGTCCGGAATTTTCCATCCTGTTCCATCTCCAGGGGTGTGAAACACCTCTGTTAGCCTGCCGTGTTGACATCTGACTAGGTGGCCCTGGATGGGCATTATTTACTCTGCGCTGTATATGGAAAGCACGCTGGCTTGCGAGTGAGAGGGCCGGGTTCAATTCCTGACTCCACCACTTTCCATCTGGAGCAGCTCCTCAGAGAGGAGAGCCAGGGCCCACGGGTCTGCACGTGCCATTTCAGCCTCACAGCCCGTGGAGGGGAGGGTTCGCTGCGCGCATTTTCCAGAAGAGCAGATGTGACTGATTGAGGAAGTGAGCAGACTAAGATTCTGCACTTTTTATTCACTCCGTCAACATGGATGAAATGATCAGTGTCCTGCCCCACCCTTGGGGCTGGGGGCCTTGGCCACTACAGTGCAGCCTGACGGAGATGACCACGGAGCAGCCCCCGCAGGAGGTGTGGGAGCATCACGGGGTGAGGAGGCGCACGACCCAGTCTGGAGGCGTTAGGGAAGCCTGGCAGGAAGAAGCGGTGCTTTCAGAAGGATTATCCAGGAGAGGGGGGAAGGCACTTGCATTCCTGGCAGAGAAAAGAAGTGTGCAAAGCCTCTGAGCAGGGAGGGGTGGCGGATGGGAGTAGCTGGCTGGAGGCGTCCAGGGGCAGTGGCCTCAGAGGTTTGCTGTCACATTCTACAGAAGTGCGTGTGAAGCGTTTGGAACAGTGCCTGACATGTAGCTAGTGCTTCGTGTGTGCTAGTGAGTGTCAGGATTTAGCTGAGCCAGCTCGAGGCGGGTCCTGGAGGCCTCGGCCTCAAGTGAGCAAGAGTGTTGATGAAGGTGTCCAAAGGTGTGGAGGAAACAGCCGTGCGGTGAGACTAGGAAACCTGGGGACCGGTCCTCCCTCTGTTGCTAAATCACCAGGTGGTCTCGGGCAAGTCTCTTGCCCCCCACCGACCCCTAGTTAGTCTGTCTTTGCCACGACCATCTCTCCGTTCCTGCTTTACATTTACCTGGTACTTTTTACATAATCATCTCGTCTTTTTGACGAGCTAGACATCCCCTTCCAAGGCAGCTCAGGAGAGAGCATAGGACGTGCTGCCCAAAGAGCTTGCTGGGAACTCCAGCCCTGCTGCACACGAGCTGGGTGTGCCTTCTGAGTTTCATTCCCTCATCCCGGAGCGGACATAAGCAACCCCTTCCTTCACAGGCTCTAAGAACAATAAACGAGGTAAAGTATGCGCTCACAGTAGATGCTTTAGAAACAGTGGCCACCAACACACTATCTTGAGCCCTTGATTCAACCGCCCCCTAACTGCATTTTAGAACAACTGTTCCTAGGACCACGGAGGAAGCCCCCCCTTCTTCTGTGCTCCAGGAAGGCTTCTGGGGACAGGGATTGAGAGCTCCCTAAAGACAGGGACTATGTCAGGAATGTTCACCACTGTACCTAAGAGTCTAGGACAGAGCTGGACACAAAGTAAGTTGCTCGATAGGTGTCTGAAGGAAAGAAGGAAGGCAGGGGAGAGGGAAGGGAGCAGGGAGGATGGGGAAGAAAGCCCTGATATCTCAGACCTAGATCCCCAGGGCGATGAAAGCCGCTCAGAAATGCTCGTCCCAGGAGGTCATCAAGGTGGAGCACAGACCAGGTGGCCCTGGGACCCTTCCCGTGGCCCCCTGAAGGTAGACTCTGTTGATGCCAGGGGAGCCAGCCCCTTCCATCCCCTCCACCACCATGCCCCGCCCTGCCCTGCCCCCCGACATCCAGTTCCTGCCCGCCTGGCCAGAGCTTGGACACCCTTGTCCCATGTAAGCCCCAGAGAGGGCAGCATCACACAATAGGCGTCCTGTCTGCTGGGAAAAGCCGCTGTTTCCTCCACGCAGAGCTCATCACTGCACTTAAATGCCACCGATTGTTTTTATGTCTGAGAACAGCGAAGGGGGCAGTGCTGAGAACGAACATTATCACTTGGCCGGCCGCCATGCTGTGCCCCGCAGAGTGGGTACCGCGCTGCTCCGGTCACCGGGAGGGGCTGTCTTGCTCCTCTTTTCTCCGATATATTGTCACCCAAGTTGTATCTCCCTGTCCTGACTCTGTCCTCGGGGTGGAGCCTGGTCTAAACTCCCACGGTTGCTGGGGCCAGCCTGCTGTGGGAGTGTGCGTGCCTGTGTGCGTAAGCAGGAGGTGTGGGGGTATGGGTGTGCACGGGGCGGGGGATGAGTGTGTGTGTTTGTGGGGAGAGGGGTGCAAAACGCCCTTGCTGGGAGCCAGACTCCTCGTCTTCCATCGAACCTGAGGTGCACCGTCGCACACCTCCCCCAGCGCGTTCTTTTCTTCCTGAAGATCTAGCCGAGGTTTTCCTTCTTTCGTTCTCCAGGTGTCACAAGGAGCAGAAATGTCTTCCCTGTTTCCTCATCACTGTCATCACCATTGCTCTTTTTTTTTTTTTTAATTATTTTATTTTGTTTGTAGGTTTTTGGGGGTTTTTTAGTTTTGGGATTTTTTGGGGTGGAGGAGGTAATTTGGTTTATTTATTTAGTTATTTTAATGGAGGTACTGGGGATTGAACCCAGAGCCTCGTGCATGCTAAGCATGTGCTCTAACCACTGGGCGTACCCTCCCCTCTCACCATTGTTCTTAATAGATACTTACTCGCCTACTCTGTGCCACACCCCACGCTGGGCACTGAAGGAGTGGCCTGACTCCCCCAGAAACCTGGGCTAGGGTGGGTTCAGACACTGAGCTAAAAGGCAGTGAGCGAGTCACCACACTTTTCTGAGGCTCAGTTTCCTCACTGGTAGCATGGGGATCGTAAGGTGTCCACACAAAGGTTTTAAGGATGAGAATTCAAAGCTGAGGCACTTGTAAAGGTGGGTCATTTTTCTTCTAGCACACTTCTTGGCACAAAGTGGCCTCGTGTGGAGGAGAGACGGCTAGGGCAAAGGCTTCAGACACCCGTGGGCACAACTCCCCATTGCTGCCCCCCTCCCCTAGCCGGAGATCCACAAGCCCCCCACCGAGCCCATGGCCCGATCTGCCCCAGGGGACTGAGCCACTGCGCCGCGCTCAAGCTAATCTCCCCTCTGCTGCCCACCCTTTATGTTGCTTCGTCCCCAGGTGGTGGGTGAGTGGAAATTCAGCAGGATTCACTGTGACATCTTTGTCACTCTGGATGTCATGATGTGCACAGCAAGCATCCTGAACCTGTGTGCCATTAGCATCGACAGGTGAGCCCAGCCAGGGTGGGAGAGGTGACCCAGACCATTCACCTCTGGGGCTGCCCCACCTCTCCTTCAGGGTCAGGCTCAGTCTACTATGCCATATGGCGGGTTGTGTGCCTGTGAGCCCACGTGTTTGTGCGTGTAAGGGTGCGCATGCGCACATGTGTGTGGGAGTGTGTGTGTCTGGCTGGGAGAGGTCAGACCCCCTAAAGGAGGCTGTCTTGCAGACAGTGATGCTACCAAGAGTACCCAGACAGTGACTAGCAAGGAAGAGAAAGCACTCAGGTAACCGAGCCCTACCTCTGTCACTGCTTACTTACGTGACCCTGGGCAGATTGTGGAAGTTCTCAGAACGCTAGTCTCATTGTCTAGAAACCCAGGGTGGTGGCCCCTGGCCACCTGCGGCCCTAGTGTCTGGTTGTGCGTTTCATGTCCAGCACAGGGCGCACGGCCAAGGGGGCCCAGGCCGTGCTCGCCTTGCTGAGCTGTATCCTCGGAGCCTGTTACTGATTCGCACACACAGGTACGTGGGCTCCCAGAGGCTCTGGCTCCCCTCGCAGGGTTCTTGGAAGATGGAACGAGCTAACATCTGAGAAGTGCTGGATGGAGGGATGTGGGGTGCCATGCACAATGACGGCTACTGAATGAGACCTAACCCTTGCTCTGAGGGGCCTGGCTACCAATCCACCAACAAACACTTTTACCCTCCATGGGGCCAGCAGACATGCAGTGGGTACAGTTTCAAAGGTGCCAAGACCCAGGCCGTGGCTCCTCAAAAAGCCTGAAGTCCAAGCAGGGCAACTGGAGTAATAGGTCTGGTCCCGGATTAAATGGTAGATGGTCAGTCATTGAGCACTTGACTGGACATCACCAACTGTCCTCACTGTCTGAGTCGGGGACCAGAGAGAGGGTTGATTCAGAGTAGACAGGAGGTGGATTGACTGTCTGTCCCCCCATAGTGGGGTGTCTCTGGTGTGTGCACGTTGTTTAGTGAGCGGTGCCTCAGCCCGCATCCCAGACTCAGGGTCCCTGCACCCCCCGCCTGCGCAGGTACACAGCTGTGGCCATGCCCATGCTCTACAACACACGCTATAGCTCCAAGCGCAGAGTCACTGTCATGATCACCATCGTCTGGGTCCTGTCCTTCACCATCTCCTGCCCACTGCTCTTTGGACTCAACAACACAGGTGAGTCCAGCCTCTGTCTGTCTGGGGCCCTGCCCCCGCCCCTGTGCAGGACCCTGAGGGAGCTGAACCCTGGCGCAGACGCCGGTGGTGGCCCATTCACCACCCAGGACTGAGGCCAGGCTGGGCTTCCTGGGCCAAGCCCAACTCCTTGCACCTGGTAGAGTCAGACAGGAACAATGGCCCAGGCCGTGATGGAGTTGTGTGAGGAGTGGGGATAGTGATTCAGGAGGGTACCTGGACGTTTTCAACTTTGTTTATTAAATGGAAGCAGACCAGGAGGCCTTGTAAACCACATGTGTGTGCATGTCTGTGTGTGTGCACCCACGAGAGGAGGCCGCTGGGCCTCCATCACCCCTGACAATGGTGTCTGTGTAATGAAGCTATAGCCCCAGGGCTGGGCAAACCCAGGCCAGGCCAGATCTACCTGGAGCAGGAAAGGTAGAAACAAACAGAAGGCTAGCTGCCCGCGGCTGGTCCTGTGCGAAGCAGTCAGGAGCATCTCAGACAGAGGAGGCCCAGAGTGGGGGGTGGAGCTTGTCCTCATCTGGGAGGTGAGATGATACTGGGGACCATTACCGGATAGGATGCAAGGAAGCCTTGAAAGCATGTGGTTCAAAATCTAAGTGTTATGGGAATTCCAAGAGGCAGGAATAGGGCTAACCGAGCTAGGATTATCTGGGAAGAGCCTGGGAGAGAGGACAAACACCTGCTAGATGTGAAAGGGAAATTGGAAACACAGTGGATCACAGGTGAGTTCAGCAAACAGGACCAAGTCATCTTGTCCCTAAAGTTAAAAGGTGTCAGACCTCCGTGCAATACACAAGAAAGTCTCAAGTGATGGTTTGCTCTTTTTACATAATTTTCTTCCATCTTTTTTTTTCGGGAAACCATGGCTCCCTGTGTTTACTCCTGGATGACAAAACTCGTGATGAAGTTATGAGGTGATAGTAAGGGAAACCCTTGGAAGCAGTCATCACAGCTTAGCTTTTTGCTCATGCTTGTTTCTAATACTTTGATTTACGCTGTGTATTTATTACATCTAATATTTCCAGGCTGCCTTAGGCGTCTAGTCATGTTTTCTGTAACGCTGCTTCTTGGCCGGGAAGGCACCGTGGCCCCCGGGGGCCTGCTGACCTCCCACCCCTGGGGCTCTCCTCCCCCCAGACCAGAACGAGTGCATCATCGCCAACCCCGCCTTCGTGGTCTACTCCTCCATCGTCTCCTTCTACGTGCCCTTCATCGTCACCCTGCTGGTCTACATCAAAATCTACATCGTCCTCCGCAGGCGGCGGAAGCGGGTCAACACCAAGCGCAGCAGCCGGGCATTCAGGGCCAACCTGAAGGCCCCGCTCAAGGTCCCGAGATCCTTCTCCCCCAACGTCCCTGTCTAACCATGACCCGGGGGCTCTCCGTGCTCGGTGGGGGCCTGGGACACTGCAGCCACCGGGGTCCAGGCTGGAGGAGCTCCGAGGAGCTGAGCGCAGGCAGATTCCGAAGGCTCGGACATCAGTGGGCGACGTGAACCTCCAGGAGTGGGAGGTTGGGAAGGGGGCGGAGACCACCTGGGAGGAGAGCTTTGTCTGAACGCAGCAGCTCTTGGTGCCTTCGTGGCTCTTCTCTCCCTCTTTCCTTCCTCCTCCTTTCCTCCCTCTGACCCTTCTGTCTCCTTTTCCATCCCTCTGACGCCTCCATCCCATCTCCTTTATTTCCCATGCTTTCCCCTCCTCTCTGTGCGTACCTCCTTCTTCCTCACCTGCTCCTGCCCACTTCCCTCCTCTGCCTCTCTTTCATCTCCATGCTGACGTCTTGTGACTGCTCCCCTCTGCTCAGCCCTGCCTGAGGAAGATGGTAGGTGGGCAGGGAAGGAACAAGAGCTTGGGGCTTAGAGACAAAAAGTTCCAATCCTGGCACCACCACTTTTTTTTGCTGTGTGACCTTGGGCAAGTTGCTTAACTTCTCTGAGCCTCAGCTTCCTCATCTGCTAAATGTGAATCATAATACCGATCTCACAGGGTGGTCTTGAGGATTCAGTGGGAGAGGGATGGAGTGTGCCTAGAAGGGTGCCAGGTCCCCAGCAGGTGCCACATAAAAGTTATGGCCCTTTCGTTCCCTGTCCAGCTCACTTCTTCCCATCACAGTACCAACCTTCACCCTCACCTCAATTGCCCCTCAGGCCCCAGCCTCCTAAGCTCTGCCCTTCTCTGAGCTCCAGTGCCCAGTCAGACTACCCCACATTGGATTTCTGTCCCCCTTGCCCCATCTCCCTGTTATGACCCATGTGCTGGCTCACTCCACAGGGCAACTGCACTCACCCTGAGGACATGAGACTCTGCACCGTTATCATGAAGTCTAATGGCAGTTTCCCAGTGAACAGGCGGAGAGTGGTAAGTGTTCAGGTCAGGGACTCCAGGGCCCTGTCTTTCTGCCTCTTGGGAAACCCACCCGCGGTGATTCTCAGAGACCTCACCAGCTGGTCAAAGGGATAAGCCCCTCCCAGGATCCCCTGCTTTGCCTCAGCTGAGGCCAGACTCACCATGCACACACATAAGCAGGCATGGAGCAAGACTGTTCATTCCTGCAAGGCACAGAGAGGCACCCCTAGTGCAAGGAAAGGTCTGGGAGAAAGGACTCGGCCATAACCACATAAGCAAAACCATAACAATGGCGATGCCCATTAATCACAAACCTACCATCTTCCTGTTAGCTCGTCAAATCCTCACAGCGACCCTGAGAGGTAAGTCTTGTTGCTCCCACCCGTCTTCATTCCGCAGGAGAGGAAACAGAGGCTCAGAGAGGTTGGGTAACTCACCCAGGGCTAAACAGTTGGTGAGAGTTAATATGGGAGCCCAGACCTCAGTGACTCTGAAACCCATGCCCGTGTTCTTCCCACTGGCATACGCTGCCTTACAGACAGGCAGGTTCTGGGGCGGGAGGGAGGCTGGGTGCTGGGGGAGGAGCGAGCGGAACAGCTGGGGCGGGGGTGCCCACAGTAAAGGGCAACCTGTAAGTGGAGCCCAGAAATGCAGAATCACAGCAGACCCCAAGTTTCCCAGTAATAGTAGCACCAGGGTCCAAGCAGCAGGTGTCCCATCCCCTGACTGGGCAGAAGATGGGCCCAGGAACGCACAGAGGGCGGCACACCGAGTCCAGGTCAGGCGTCTTCAGGAAGCAGGAACCCTGCTAGTCACCTGCACATTCACTGTTCACCAGCAAAGGCAGGACTCCACGGAACCATGTGAGATGGATGCCAAAACGGGGACTCAGGATCGGGGCACTTCCACACACAGTGAGGCTGCATTTCAGAAGCTCAAGCTTGAGACCCCCAAGGCCTGGAGCAAGGGAGCATGAGGAATGCTCTGGGAGCCCAGGAGGACGTGGGCTCCTCCAGATCAGCCCAGCAGGGGGGTGAGGGGCTCAGGGGTTCGCCCTTCCACACCTGCATCAGTCTACCGGGAGAAACAGCACACCTGTGCTGTGCTGGTGCAGGAGGCTCGTCAGCCTGGCAGCCCCTGTTTCAGCCTGGCAAGGAGAACGGGGGTGCCCTCTATGCAGGAACATGAGTTCCTGGAGGCAGGAACGGAACATCAATCAGTAACTTATTCACAGCCGCTAGCTTGGCACCTGGCACTCAGTAAGTGTTGTTCAGTTAATAAAACAGAAGTACCTTGGTACGAAGCCACCACAGGATGGTCGTGGGGTCATCGAGGCTGCCTGAGGATTGCTCTGCAAAGAGGGCCGGGTGACCTGGCAAGCTGGGATGGTCGTAGGTCCTAGGTACCCAGATAGCTCCTACTTCCCAGTGATCGTCCTCCTTTCCTCTCTGGCAGAGTGACCCGGTGGTGTCTGCAGGCATCTCCACACAGGCATAGGGAAGGGCTGGGTGGGCCTGGGTGGGGCCAGGTGAGGCCAGGTAGGTCAGGTGAGGTTGGGGGGTTGATGGCCAAGAACTTGCCTGGCTTTACCCAGAGCTCTCTGCCTCGTGCAGGAGGCTGCCCGCCGAGCCCAGGAACTGGAGATGGAGATGCTTTCCAGCACCAGCCCACCCGAGAGGACCCGGTACAGCCCCATCCCGCCCAGCCACCACCAGCTGACCCTTCCTGACCCATCCCACCATGGCCTCCACAGCACTCCTGACAGCCCCGCCAAACCAGAGAAGAACGGGCATGCCAAAGACCACCCCAAGATTGCCAGGATCTTTGAGATCCAGTCCATGCCCAATGGCAAAACCCGGACCTCCCTCAAGACCATGAGCCGCAGGAAGCTCTCCCAGCAGAAGGAGAAGAAAGCCACTCAGATGCTCGCCATTGTTCTCGGTGAGTCAGCCCAGGCCGCCAGCCACAGCCCGGCTTTGCCCAACCCTGGCTGAGGAGAGGAGGTCCCACTGTCTGCCATCCCCCCAAACCATGGCTGGTGGGTCGCAGGACTGGTACTTTTCAGGCACAGGCTAAGCCCATGGACCTACCTGCTTAGATAGATTCTATAATTATGCTCATTTCACAGATGGGGAAACAGTTTTGGAACTTGACTAAGGAGGACGCACGATTTAAACTCAGGCAGTTTGACTCCAGAATCTGAACTTGACCAGTCTCCCATCATGACCCCCAGAACCTCATGACCCTGGGCAAGTGACTTTGCTCTCTTGTCTCCCCATCGGTAGAGCAGGTTACCTCTTAGGGTTCTGGTCATCAAAATGATACACAGTGTGAAAGCATTTTACAGACTGTAAGCAGTACGTGCCAGTGTTGTCATTGCGATTTCTGTCAATTTTGACATTTCTGAGAAATTGGGGAATTCACTTGACTTGATCGAGACGCAGTGGGGCCAGAGGGTGTTCCTGTGAACAAGGAAAGGGGCTGTGAGGGGGGCCCCATCTAAATGGGGGTGAGTGAGGCGAGGCTCTCAAATAGAAGTCTCTTAGAAAACAGATCACAAAGGTGAAAAGTCAAGGGCTGGACTGATACGGGTAGTGGGGACAGGAGGGACTGTAGCACCCATGGTAGTTGTGACGCCAGTCCACACTCACCATCCCTGTGACCGCCCGACAGTCCTGTGACATGAAAAGTTCAGGTGTTACTATTCCGGTTTTACAAATGAGGACTTGCAGTCTTAGCAGGTTGGAGGACTACCCGAGACCAAGTGCAGAGGGTGGCAGAGTGGGGCTGGAGCCAGGCCCTCTGCTCCCGTCACTGGCGGGGGGTGGGGGTGTCTCTGCTCCGTAGCCCTGCCTTTCCCAGCATCGCTCGGTCCCTGGGGACTCCCGTGTGCCTGTGCGACATTCTGTGCACACAGTGTCTCCACACCGAGGGTCCAGCCGAGCAGGCGGGCCCGGGTTTGACAGGCAGAGCGATGGGCGGGAGGTCGGAGTTGTGACAGCAGGTGTCCCCGGGCAGGGATTAGCAAAGGTGTCACCGACGGGGCTGGGGAAGTTGGGGAAAGGCGCAGCAGAAGCCTGGCCATCTGGGGACTTTGACAGACTAGAGTTTGGATCTCAGCTTTGCCAGTGAGTGGAGTGGCCTTGTGGGCATCACAGAGCCTCCGTTTCCTGGTACCTCATGCCAGGAGGACTAAGTGGGGTGGGTTTCGAGCTCCCCTTCTGGCCCAGATTGCGCGTTCCCCACTCCCAACTTCTGCGGAAGGTGTTTTCCAAGCTGGCCAGAAAGGAGAGAAGATATTTCCATTTCTACTGGCTGCCCTGGTCAGGATGTTAATCTTTTGGATTTGTTTTCAAGCCCATTATCCTTTCCTAGGAGATGGGCATTGTTACACGCGCTTGACAGAGGAGGAGAATGAGGGAGGTGAGGTGACTCGCAAAGGAGTATCAGAGGCAGGTCCTTCCAAGACCCCAGGTCCCCCTGAGGTGCTCTTGTTGCCTTGGTAACGGGCGGGGCCTGCGGCACATACCTCTAGCTCTGCCCCTCCCCAACCCCAGAGGCCAGCCTGACAGCAGTCCTCTTCCCCAGGCGTCTTCATCATCTGCTGGCTGCCCTTCTTCATCACCCACATCCTGAACATACACTGTGACTGCAGCATCCCGCCCGTCCTGTACAGCGCCTTCACGTGGCTGGGCTACGTCAACAGCGCCGTGAACCCCATCATCTACACGACCTTCAACATCGAGTTCCGCAAGGCCTTCCTGAAGATCCTACACTGCTGACCCTGCTTCCCACCTCCCTGCCCAGAGGCCTCGCCTCGGTCCCTGGGAGCCGTGGGCAGGGCGGCCCAGGACAGCCTCGGCCTCCTCTTCGCCTTCAGGCCCTGCAGTGTTAGCTTGGCTCCACGCCCCTCACTGCCCGCACACCCTCGCTCCGCCAGGGCAGTGCTAGAGAGCCAGGTACAGTGCTAGCCCTCGGGCCGGACCCCTGGCTCAGGGGCAGCTCACAGAGCCCCTGTTCACTTGCAGGCTCTCTCTGCTTGGCACCAAAGACCCAGCCGCCTTCTCTGAACTTCCTCCGGGGCTCTGGGGTTGCCAGGCCGGTGTCAGGGCTCAGAGGCCGTGCCTGCGACAGGGAAGGAGATGGACAATTCACACCCCTCCGAGGCCCGCACCAGGGACGCCAGAGCTCTTGCCAAGGCCCCAGGCTACTTCAGTCCTGGGAAACCCATGTAAATACCGGGTCTGGATGGACCCCAGAGGAGCCCAAGCCAAAAATCTTCACCCCTCTCCTGCCCGACAGAAGCCCCTCCTTCCATCCACAGCAGCAGGTCCTGACCCTACTCCAGCTCCCCACGAGGTCTGCACATCCCTGCGAGGGCGGCCCCGAGGGTCTGTGGGGAGAGGACCCCCACCCCAAGCCCACTCTGCTGCCCCCTGCTGGACGCAGGTACATCCCTCCTGGGGGCAGATGGGCCAGCCGGGGTGGCAGCGAAGGCCGCCTCCAGATTTGCCGGGGGCCTGTGTTGGGGGTCCCTGAGGTCCGTCGGGGGGCTGCCCCTGCCTCACTCTGCCACAAGCCACCTTCCTCTTCTCTTCCTTTTGCCCCTTCACTCTCCCGTTCCCTTTCCCTCCCACCGCCTCCGCCTTAGAGGAGCCCATCGGCTAAGCGGCTGCCGAGTACTGTCGGGTCGGGCTTGGCCCTGCCCTGCCTGAGGGCGGAGGGGAAGCTGCAGCTTGGGGGAGTCCCCGGGCCCCAAACTCTGTAACATCACTACACATGCTCCAGACTAATAAAACTTTGACAAGAGTCACATCCAGGGCCCCTCAGGCAGAGGGGACAGTGTCACCTCCAACCTCCACCTCAAGTGTGGCCGAAGCCTGGTGACTGTGCTGGGATCAGAGCTAGGGTGGCCTCCTGCAGGCCGTTCAGAGGGGGCGGACCCGACCCCTGTCAGACAGGACAGGATCTGGGGGGACAGGAGAGGAGGAGCTTCTCCAGGATGGCCAAGGACAGGACGTGTGTGCCTGCGTGTTTCTCCCTCCATCCCACCTCTCCTTCCAAGTGGACCTGAGTGCGCTCAGCCCTGCTGGGTGGCCCGGACCTTCACCTGTCAGCGAACGTTTCCAGTGGGAATCCTGTCACATACCCAGGGCTCCCCCAGTCACCAGAGCAGCAGGGTCCTACCAGCGGGACGCCACGTTGTCCCCACTTCCCACCTCCTCCTCTCTAGGTCCTGGCCCCTGTGAAGGCCTCATCCTTAGCCCTGCTCTCCCACTGGGACAGAGGAGGAAAAGGTGGCCTTCGAGGTGTGGCTGAGCCTGTCTGTGCTCAGCCCTGGCCCTGTCTCGCATCAGGAACCCCTTATTCTGGGGCAGGCGGGGAGGCAGGGAGGCCCTGAGTGATGTGACCCGGTGGTCCTCCCTCCTCTTGACCTCCAGACCAGCCAGAGCTCCAAGCCTTCCAGAGCTACAACTTGGCACCGTTTCAACAACAGAAATTTGGCTTTTTAAAGATGAAATATAAATCAACCCGGTGAAGGAGGAATATTCTCACCACCTTGGAAATAACAGCAGTGATAACAAACAAGGTGCTGGCACCCACGGGCTCAGGCTCTAGGGAGCTGTCAGGGCATAATTTGCATGCTAAATACAATATTTTTAGCACCAAAGTTTGGAGCACTTAACTTGCCCTGAACACTTAATTACGGACTTTGATCTCCCTGAGCCTGAATGTAGCGCTAAGCCCGAGGAGAGGCTCCTGTCCCCAGAACACCTGGTTCCAGGAGGTGTGCAAAACAGGCTCCTAGTCTAGTTCAGCAACCCAGTGAACTCCTGGGGAAGATATCAGACCCCCAAGGGGGACCTCTCAGCTCTGGTACCCACTCCATAACCAACGCATGCACATGTGTGTGTGTGTGTGTGTGTATGCACACATGCGCGCGCACACACACACAATCTAGGAACACTCTTGAACCTGATGGGAGCTTAAAAGCTCATCATTAGAAATCTCTGGAGGTCACAGAGGTTTATTGGCTGCAGGAATTCCACAGATGAAAAAAGGAGGGAGAGAGAAAGAGAGGAAGGAAGGAAGGAAGGGAGAGAGGAGGGGAGGGAGGGAGGGAAGGCAGCCGAGAGAAGTTTGGAATGAGCGCTGACAGGGAGAAGAGGGGAAGAGGGCAGGCAGGGGCGGGAGGCGGGGCAGGGGAAAGTTGCCCACAGCTGTCACGAAGCTTCAAGTCTTTCTACCAGACAGCAGATTGACAGCTGGAGTGGGCAGGGGGCGGGCTGGGCTCCACCCTGCACCTCTGTGCTTCAGGGGCAAAGGACCCGGTGTGGGACCCAGGAACGTCAAGGTGGAAGGGGGCGGCCCAGGCTCTGGCTCTCTCCCCAGGGGCCCGGATCGCGGTTCCTTTGCCGGGACAGCGAGGGCAGAAGGGAGGCTGAAGCAGGCTGAAGTCCTCTGATTTTTTTTCTCCTCTCTGCCGTTCTCTGGACTTCCGTCTCTGCGCCCATCTTTGTCGGTAGAATGCCTTTTAATCAAAGGATCACTGATCTGCCTTTACAGAAGGTGGAGTCGGCACCCCCTGACCCCCTCCCCCAGACCGCAGCAAGGAAGCACCACGTTAGGGCGGGAGGCTTCCGGGTTCGGCACAGCAGGGCACTTTGCATCCGTCCTCTCCGATGTCCACTTGGGAATGCAAGTCCTCCATGCTCCCGGCCCTCTCGGGCATTAGTCCAACAATCACAGCTCCTGGCTAGGAATGGTGACCACTGCCAAGGGCACTAGATGACAATGACAAGGACACTGGAGGCAGCAGCCCCAGCGTGCTCGGCCTGGAACAAGTAGGCAGGGACTTGGCAAGAAGACTGATGGCAGAGGACTTCCTCAACAGCAGGATGGGAGGTCCCTGAGAGAAGTGACCGCAGACCCTGCTTCCTGGTGGTCTCGGAACAGGGACAGTCAGTTGCCTGCAGCCAGGGTCTCTGAGGACCGACCCGCCTTGGGGGCCTTGTCAGTGTGCCCACCCATCTGGCATCCCTTCCCACACCACTCCTGTCCTGAGGATGTGTGGCCTGGCCCTGTTCCCTACTGCCTGTCTCCCCCAACCCGGGGCCCCAGCGCTCAGGCTGTGCAGTGGCGTTAGCACCCACTATCCATCTATGCAGGGGCCGTGGTGGGCCTCGCCTCATGTGATCTTCTGTCCTCTTCATCACGCCCAGGGATTGGTCCCTATGACCCCAAGTCTGTCATGCAGGAAGGGTGGTGGCCCAGGTGGCAAGGTTGACCTTTCAGCCCAGGTCTTTCAATCCTACATCTTATCTTATTCATTCTTCCCATTCCCTGACCAGCTCTGAGCAAAGTTGGAAGAGACTGACTACTGTGTTCAGAAAAAAAGGAGAGAGAGAAGGAAAAACCATTTGGGACAAGACTTTTAGGACGCTGCCCCTGGGGGGCATGATGGCCATTTGGACTGCCAGAGCAAGGGAGAGTGTGCAGGCAAGTTGGATGCTGAAGGACAGGTGGGACCCAGAGGGCACTGGGAGGAGAGGGGACCAGGAGTGCGAGCAGGAAGGGAGCCGTGGGGTCGGCCTGTGCTTGTGGGCGCGGTGGCGGGACTAGCTGTAGGGCCAGAGGACACAGGCCTGGGGACGCTGGAGCCACATACTGGAGGCTGAACAAGTAGGGAGTTGTGTTCTGTTGGTGCGGGTGGGGGTGGCAGGGGAGGAATGCTCTCGAACAGAGGATGAGAGATGCCATCCATAAGTTCAGGGAGCCCTGGGGATGCTCTGTTGCTCTGCCCACTGGCTGCTCCCCCTCCCCTGCCATGGCTGGAGACCGGCCTCCTCCTCTTCAGCCTGGCCCCTCATCACTCTTTCCTGGAGCTCCATGCCCCAGGTCAGCTTGGGACAGACACACTCTCCCGGTCTCCTCATTTCCTCCCGTGTCTAGGATATCTTTTCAGCCTCAAGGCATTTTCCACTGATCACTGGGGATCCCATGGTGACAATTGCAGTGTGAGGGGCCACAAGTGCCAGGACCGGGGAGGGGCAGACTCCACCAGTTCCCGGAGCCGGCTTGTCCTCTGAGACGTCGCAGAAGCCTGTTTGGACGTCTGCACTGCTGCACTTTAACTCCTGCTGACACAGCTTGCCCAGCCTCCCTGCTCCTTCCAGTTTCCTGGCCTCACAATCAGGGCAAACCCACCAAGGGATGGCTTCTCCCAGCGCAGGAAGCCACCAGGTAGACCTACCCGGGTCATCTGCATTTCTGGGGACAGCCAATAGGTGGCGACATCTCCCAGGGCCCAGGAGCGTCCTTGGGGAGGGACGGATGGTTTAAGCAGCGTTTAGGACCAGGAAGGAGGCTCTAGTCTAGATGAAGGTACCGGGTGCATGGGACAGAAACATGGTGAGAAAGGACAGGACCAGAATGATGGGGAAGAAGCAAAGTAAAGTGAGTCCCAGCACGAGCTGGTAACACGCATCATTTAATTTCATCCTCTTGACAATAAACCTGTTACAAATAAGGAGGCTGAGCCCAGGGAGTCTGGGTAAAGACCCCACCCCAGCTCTGCCAGACTCCAACCTCCTCACAGGCGGGACCCCCTCCTCTGCCACCCCTTCCCTCACCCGACACGCCGCTGAGAGCGTCTTGGGAATGAGTGATTCCTTCTGATTGCATCTGCCCTCAGCTCGGAGTGACAGCAGCTCCCAGTTGCCTCTCATATTGAATCTAAGCTCCAGAATTGAGACGGACATCAAGGTCACCCCAGAGGTGCCCACCCTCCCGTCCCCATCTCTTCCGCTGTCTGCACCTGCACCCCCAAAACGAAAGCCCTTCCTGATCAACCCCGCTCGGCTCGCTAACAGACTGGTTGGGGAGAGGGAGACTGTAGACTGCACCGTCCGCCAGCCACCTGTGGCTGCTTAAAGTTAACCTGTTGAAATGAAAAATTGGGTCCCTCAGTTGCACCAGCCATAGTTCAAATGCTCAGCAACATGTGGAGTTAGCGGCAGACACGGAAGATTTCCATCTTCTCGAAAAGTTCTGTTGGACAGAGCTGATCTAGAATGACCCCTACATTAAGAGTTGGGGTCCCTTAGCCAAGTGAGGAGGAAGGGGGGAGCAGGCTAGTGGAGGGGACAGGAAGGCTCAGTTTGGGACACTGAGTTTAGGGTCTACAGGACCTCCACGTGGAAGTGCCCCATAGGAAATCATGGGTTCCTATCCCCCTCCCCCTCTAGTCTCCCCAAAACAGTTTTGAAATTCACCTAGAGACCTTCTCCTTAGGAATTTCAAGGGCCCCACAACAATCCAATTCTAAACACCCCGAGGAGACCTCTAGAAGGCAGCTGTGTTGAAATGGGACTCAGAGTAGATGCCGTGTGTGTCTGCATGGGTCTGTGTCTGTGTCTGGCTAGGGCTGGCTTGAGAAAGGCAAAGAAGATTCTAGTAGGCAATGAAAAGGCTGTGTTGGCTGGAGCTGGCCTGAAATCACCTCAGTTATCTCTCGGAGGAAGGGAGTAGAGAAAGCAAGGGTCTGAGGATCTCCGCTTAGACCCTGGGATCGTCAGAGTTGAAAAGAACCCTAGGGCATCTCTGTGCGGTCTCTGCCATTTACAGGACAATAGGTGCACGAACATGCAGCCCCACACCCCTTCCCCGGCTCAGGCAGAATCCCACGCTTGGATCTAGACTCAGACCTCAGGGTGCGAGAAGCCACCAGCACCATGCCCCCTCCCTTTCCTCCTGCTCCTGCGTGTTCTAGGAAACACAGAACTCCCAGGGCCATTTGCAACTACAAGTTTTACCCAGGGCTTCATTGCAGGGAGAAGGTGAGGCTGCCCCACGCCCCCAAGTCCTCAGGAGTC